CCTTTACTGTTGGATGGACAACATGCTGCCAGGGGCGGGTTACAAATGTGAGTGTGGGATTAGAGGACAGTGCTCGCGGTTATTAAAATGAAATTAAATTAATGAATTCACTCAGCAGATTTCATGTAATGTACCAGTTTGTTTATGAGGTCCCTTGTAAAAACTGTTGACCATGGCCCAAGTCTGGCAGTAAAGGAGGATCACTGGAGAGATGTCATCCTCTGGAAAACGTAAATGAATTATGTCGATTTTAGCAATGCATTATTAAGTTTTGGATGCGTGTAAAATTTGAAGATTTGACTTATACTTGCATTAATCGAGGTTGTTTGGCCACTTTGGGGTAGTGACAGCTGAAAACCACACATAAAGGTTGTTTCCACCAATTTGCACAGACTTTTTTAGTCTGAATGTCAGGAAGCCGCATAAACCTTACAAATGACTAAACACACTGAACGACTGGTCAACGGCAATGCCACAACTGACCATAACAGCAGCCTAATAGTGTCCCTACCTCTACAGGAAGTAACAAAATCTAATACAACCTCCTCAAATCAGCATCACCTCAACGGCCTATCAACCAAAGAGAACTTAACTAATCCAACTCAATGCACTACTATGAAGAATTTTAGTTTGCTAATTCCACGTTGTGAATACTGCAGTCTTAAAAATTCAACGCTCAAAACCGCCTACTGCAGCTTTACCCCAAGATAAGCAGAGTTCTCTCAGTTCAGCTCATGACCAGGAAAGCTAGTCATGGACCTGCCCAGTTCTGTGGAATGCCACATTTGGTAAAGATCTTTCCCAGCAAATCTAACAGCTGGACAACCCTGTGTCCACAGATGAAGAGATGACTCAAAACAAATTTTGTACAGTTGTGGGGCTTTCACGAAACCACTAGTGACATGTGTAGGACCACAGCAGACCACCTGTGTCTGGTGTAGAGCTCAGGTCAATGCTAAAGGCCTCCATGACCGTCCAGTCAGCTGAGCAAGGCCACTCTTATGCTGATGAGTGGGCAGTAAAAACAATAAATTTTCGCTCTGTAAGCAGTCCCCCCTCGCCTGCTCTTCTCCTCCCAGCCCTCCCCTCCTCAGTGTAACCACATAGGTCTTTGTGTCCAGCACTGCTAGGAACTCAGCATTGAGGCCCACTAAGCTCCACTTTCAAAGGCAACCTCTGATGTGGCCTTTCTGATCTCTGCATGTCTCACTGACTTTCCTCTTACTCTCCTCTGACTTGGGAGTTTTTCTTTCTGTCGGTATCCTATTTAGCCATGGTTTCCCTCGCTGTTGCTCCCCCTCACACATGCATACTTGCTCTTATAGATTTCCTTTTAGTCCAACTGAAGGGAAGCTGGCCCATGTCATGAAAACATATGTGAGAAGAGTTTGGAGAGATGATGAAAAACAGCAATATCTTGACAGTCAGCCTTAACACTCCTTGGAAGTTCAAACTTCCCTTGATACATACACACCCTTCCCCCTCCCCCCTTTCCTCCCCCCTCCTCTTCTTTGTGATGACATGTATGTGCTTATGGAAACCAGATGTGCAGTGTTGCAGTGAAAGAGGCGATGAGAGAAAGAGAATAACCAAACATGAGGTTGTATGATACTTCATTAACAGACTGCAGGAGATGTGGGGAGGCTGAGGAGGAGGAATACATATATAATGAATTTAGGAGTTCAGACAGTCACTGTATATATATTTAGATGCCCATTATCCTGACCAGGGTCTGAGCGAAGCAGGGGGGTTTCCTTGTGGATACGGCTGGGTCAGGGCAAGGGTAGCTGGGCTTGTAGAGCCTGAATCAGCATCTCCTATGATGGAGGTGTTTTTCTGCGGGGCTTGGGAAACCACGGCATATGAGACAGGGGTTTGAAAAAAAAGCAACCTAAAGAAGTTGAAATGTTAATTGTTTAACTTCCTTGCACCTGTATTTTTTTCACCCACACAATACCTCCCTCCTTAAAAGAGACGGCTCCCACCGCACCACACCCAATTCAAAGTGCAGACATTGTGTTAAGTGTAACAAAAGCAGGCACGTAGCTCATAACTGATAGCCTTAAGCAGATTCAGCACTGAGGGGCAGACACTGGCAGAACTGCATGGCTGAGGTCACAAAGTGTAAAAAATACACAATACAACAGACAACACTGAGATTGGGGCATCTGGGGCACACAAAAAAGTTATGTTTGACTAATGGGGAAAATAATTTTCCATGCATAGCTCCATGTGTAGCTAAATGGAATAATAAGATGCAGACACAACGGAAAAAAGTATTAGGTATTGATCCCTCTCAGTGTATACCACAAGTAAACCGTGTGTGTGTGTGTGTGTGTGTGTGTGTGTGTGTGTGTGTGTGTGTGTGTGTGTGTGTGTGTGTGTGTGTGTGTGTGTGTGTGTGTGTGTGTGTGTGTGTGTGTGTGTGTGTGTGTGTGTGTGTGTGAGAGAGAGAGAGAGAGAGAAACTACTCTTGCACCCCTCCAGACTGTGTGGTACCTTGTTTAAAGTTCAAACTGTTTTTCTATTTTAAAACAATGAACAAGAAAGCACTTGAATAGAGAGCAAGAGGCACCACAGACCTTTTCACAGCATGTTGTCATAGCAGGGAACCCACAGCGATTGTTGTGTTACTGGTTACACCTATGACCAGGCAGAGCATCTGCTGTGAAAAAGGTTAGTCACTCTGTTCACTGTCATCACTGTATATCATTATATCACAGCAGTGCTTATTATGTCAAATGTTCATATCAAATCAAATTATTATGGCATTGCTAAATACTAAATGGGTACATGTATAATTATGTGTTATAATGTATAATTTATGAAAACACTACAAAATAGATACATCTATTTGTAAGGGTTTTTGAGTATAGGTTGATTCAAATTATTTGGGTTGCAGACAAGTTGTGCAATTTTGTTGTATTTAAATGCCCTCTAATACACGCTACACGCAAAGTAAAGTTCATGCCAGACCTTCCCATTTGTTCTGAAAATCTTTTGGTCACAAACAAAAGGCAACCACATCACCTCCGCTCTCTAAAGGAGGAAGTGAACACTGCAGCGTGAACTCTTTACGTCCTATCTGTGGTTGTGTGTGTGAGAGTAACAGATAGAGAGGGACCCTCTGTTCGTGTTTGTTGTATCAGATCTTGGTGCAGGATGTGGCAGAGCTTTAACTGATGCAAATGAAAACCATGTGTAACCTATATAGCCACTCACCAGTTCCCTTTAAGAAATTCCCCTTTCCTTCATCCCACTTCCTTGTTACCAGGCAGAGACCAACTATTCTCTGTTCATCATTCATTCTCATTTATTGGGAAAGTTACTCACTCTTGGTTGGTACTGCAATTACAGTATGATGTTCGCGTTGGCTATTATGGGACACAATAGCCAAGAGCAGGACTTCCCCTGTTTAGAAGTTTCCATTCATCAGCCTGCAGGCTACACACATGCCAACTGAAACAGGCACAGGAAGTGTCGAGCACAGAGAAAGACAGGAACATAAAAGGAGCTTGTTAATGACGTCTGTTGAGTAGAGTCTAATGTAGACAGAGAGATGAGATATTGAGATTGGTGGATGTGATTTGAGGCACTTGGCAAGGAGGAGTTTGTGTTTGGAGTTCAGCTTCAGTAGAAAGTGGACAGTAACATTGGAATCGGGACTAGAAATCACCTTTTTATTTATCTGGGTGAAATGTGAGAGCCAGAGGAGTGGAGATGGTTGGAAGAGGCCGGGGCATTGTGGTGTGGTCTTTTGTTGGGCTTTATGAAAAAGAAGTGAGTCATTTCGCAGACAGTGAAGAAAAGCTCTCCAGTTACACACAGAGAGAGGAGAAAAGAGAGGACTGTGGGGAAGAATTATGCTGAGGCAATTCTTTTCTCTGCTCTGCAGAATCAGCTGGGGAAGACAGAAAACATTAAATAGTCACCCACAGTTAAATGTCTGACTTGTGTGCAGGTCAAGGAGACACTTTTAGCGAGAAAAACATCACGCACGAATAAAGATGTATACTGAAACCTGCTGAGGGGAAAGAAACCTGCAAAAACACATGATTTTCTTCCTTACATATCCTTTACTGTGACCTTGATGTAGTCAAAAAAGCCAATTAAAGAGATCCAAACCAACCCCCATCCCCCATCCCCCATCCCCTCGTTGCTGTGTCCCGCTGTGTGTCTGGCCTACATGATGCAGTTGGAATTCCAGATGTTGCTCATGGAATTCTGCTCCATCTCTGGCCTCCAAATGTGACTTAACTCTTCTCACTCCTCCTTCTCCTCCTCCCCCCTCTTCCCTCCTCTCCCCCCCAAAAAGCCTCGTGACTTCTCTCCCCGGCTCTTCAAAACACTGCAGGAAAGTAGAGACAAATGGGCGCCCTAAATCTTTTCGGCACAATAGGAAAATACCTCATCATTTTAATTGCAAAAAGCCCCATTGCTGTAATCATAACATATCATGGAGGCGCTGACCCCCACCCACTCTCTTTCTCTCGCAGTCATCTTTACAGTGAGTCTGATGGTTGTATGGCAGTTGTTCATTAGTGGGATCATTAAGGAGTGAGGAGACGCCTAAGTTTGCTGTTTGAGCTTTTATTGGCTTTTGGTTGATGGGAGTGCACACATACACCATGCATAATGCACAAATAAAGGCATTTATAGCTGCACAAAAACACGCATGAGAGCATGTTTGTATTGCTGTACTTGTGAGGACCTACACTGACTGCATTTACTCACTGAGCCCATTCCAAAAAATTTAACCTCTCCACAACTTATGGAGCCCTAAATCCAAACGTTAAGCCTTAAAGAAGAGTTGCATGATTTTCCTCGTCTTCCCACTCTTGTGAAGGCTTTTTGGTCCTCATAAGTATGGAAACACAAGAACACACACGCACTCTCTCTATAACCGTATAGCTGAGATATGTTTTCCTGCTGTGCAGCAATGGCTTCACACAATCGTCTTCATCCCTGTTTCTACTTAAGCTTTGGATCCAGTCCGTGTTTTCCGACCCAGTTTCTGGCCTGCCAGTTTCCGAGCCCCAGCAACGCAGAGTGGTGCAGTCGGGGAGCAAGAAACCTGGAGGTCCAGGAAGACGAGGGAGGACCAGGCAGAGGAGCTGTGTGATCAGTGTGAGAGGTAAAGAGTCCAGGTAAGAGATGGATGATATGAAAGCAGTTAAGCCTAATTTGAAATATGACTGAATTAAAGGGAGTGAATGGTTCCAGTTCAGCTAAACGCAGTTAACAGAAAAGATGGCACAAAGGTAAGTGAATGATTTGCTAAGTGAAAATCAAAGCACATAAAGCCTTTTGAAATGACTTTATTTAGTAGGAAAAGCTTTAAAATATAAGCGAGTAAGAGCACACACAAACTCAGTGAGAAAACTAGATCATTATTATCATCATCATCACTAGTATCATTATCATTGCTGTTTCACTGCTTATAACCCCTGACTAGTAATATAGCACCATGATTTGTAAACAAGTACAATGACAAAAAGGAGTCATTTTCAGATCTTCAATTTATTTTCATTTGAGATGGATTCAAGGTAAAAAAAAAAAAAAAAGAAAAACAATCAAGTTTCAAGAATACATAACCCCCTTCCCCATTCACTGTTCCCACATATAAAATTAAGGCCACTTTCAAAACTGTATGTCACTGTCCAGCAGGACTTTTTAATGACAATGTACAAAAACACATTCTTTACACAGAGGACAACAACAATAATAGTAATAGTCATAATAATAATGACAACATCATTTATAATAATAATCACCACTAAAGACATTGATATAAAAAAGGAAAGGACACAGTTGCATTTATTGCTTTACTCTGACAGGAGTGTATCTCATGCTTCGTAAGGACATAAGCTAATGTTTTGTTTCCCTTTTATGGTCCATACTGGCTCTGACATGTAACTTTAATGGAAGATTAAGAAACACAATGACTATGCCACTGTGGTTTCCAAATATTTGTGTTGATGTGAGTGTGTGCAAGTTAACAAGGGGTTGTAACAAGCGATCAAACGCGCTCTTTGCTTACTCAAAGGAACATGCTAGAATGGGCATCATGAAAGATGCAGGTTTGAAGCGGAAATTCACAAGGACACAAACACTGACCACTGACACGAACTAAAAATAAGACATTGAAAAAGGCTAAAACAAACAGCAATGAGCTGGCGTCAGTAACCACGAGGCATACAGAGACAGACGGGAGTGAAAAAAAATGAAAAAAGTGGAAGGACGGAGTGGTTGAGAGATAGAGCAAAAGGAATCTGGCAGTGGTAAAAAATATTTTAAAATGCAAGTCTGGTACTTTCCTTCTGCTCTTTCTCCACTTTTATCTCTTTCTTTCCCGCTCTTATTATCTGCCTTCAACATTTCCTTCCACTTTTTTTCCCTCTTTCTCTCCCGGTCTTTCTCTCCTCTCTCCCTCTGTCTACACCTTGTCCAGTAAAGATCGTTGGCAGTAGAGGAGTCGGCGTGGGGTACCGTACCGATGGAAAAACACCAAGACTGCCAGCGTCGCAATCACACACACTAACAGGAACAGCGGCACCACCACCGCCGCTGCCCCACTGCCGCCACTAACCCCTTCCTCCACATCCACTTCAGTAATGATCACCTCCGTTTCTTCCACCGTCTCCGTTTCCTTCTCCCTCTCTCTGTCCCTCTCTCTGTCCCTCTCTCTATCTCTAGTTCTGTCTTTATCCTCCCGTTCCTTTTCCTTCTCCCTCTCCTTGTCCTTGTCGTGTCCGCCACCACCTCTTCCTCCGTCCGTCTTGGGGTCTTCGTTGGGGCAGCCCATCCAGTCACGTAGGGCTGATTTGGGGTATCCCGGCTCCACGCGCATCATCTGGTTGTTGAACTTCCAGTACTTGTTCGCTTTGTAGAAGTAGGTGTATGCTGAGGGGGGGAAGAAAGAAATGTGAGATACAAACCTGAACTGAAGAGCTACTTCGATTCACATTACAATGTGAGAAAATAATCTAAGTAATATTATACACACCACCCTTACCTTGATCTTTGCTCATGAAAGCTGCCTTGATGTTGTCAGGCACTCCCTGCCACACATTAACTAATTTTGGATAGCCATCATCAACACTCCGTGTATCTTCGTTGAAACGGTAATACCTAAACAAAGAACAGATGGTCACATTCAGACTCCTCCTGCTACTTGACTTAAACTTCGATTATGAGGACTTGTGACTAGACTTGCACTTGCCCCAAAAAACAAAAGATGGTACTTGAGACTTGGTCTGACAGACTTGACTTGAGACTTTTCTTTGACCTAAAAGAATTTGGTACTTGACTTCAGACTTGTTCTGACAGAAGAAAGACTTGACTTGGACCTGGCCTACATGATTTGAGACTTGCTCTGAAGGACTTGTGACTTGAGATTTGGTGTAGACTTTTCCTATAACCCTTAATACTTGACTTGTTGTCTTGAGTTGTCTTGAATCACTTGTGACCTGACTTGGACTTGATCCCCAAAAGTACAAAGAGACCTGCTCTGATTTAGCTGATTCAGTGTGTTTGTTTCTACTGGACCGAACCACTAGAAGGACCACAACGGTGTTGTTTCTGTCACAATATGGCAGACGGATCGGTGTTAACTCTTCCAGCAGCCAGACTGGTCATAAGGCATGAGCAATCTCAGTTGTTTACAAAAAAGAATGAGCATCCACTTGTTATGAACTGTTTATGTAGGTGACTGTTTGCACTGTAATCACTGACTGCCTTATTTAAATTTTTTGTTTTGTTTAAATGAGAAGCAGGTCAGTAATTGGGTTAAATTACTGACTTCAAGCTTTTGGACCTTAAATGGTCAACATTCAAACACATGTTTTGGTGGTGGTGACGCAAATAGATTTTCCTTTGTATCAGTTGTTTATGAAGTTCAGTCATAGTGGGATTTGATACACATACTGTACACACATGTAAGATGACTTACTTGTTTGCTCTGAAGAAAAAGGTCTGTCCAGTGGGGGTGTAGTAGAGAGCAGCATCTATTCGATCTTTGGGAAGCCCATTGCCCATTTCCTTTATAGTCTTAGGGGAATCAGGATCCAGAATTGATTCAGTGAACACCCAATACCTGTCACCTGGCAGTTGGGACACAGAGATACAGAAACAGAGGAAGAACACTTATGAGTTAACCGGACAATGTTGCCTGTTTGATGATTATAGGAAAGGGAAAACCTGTAAAGGTTTTCTCAATATACTAAAACCAGACTTACCTTTAAAGAAAACAAACTTCCCATCTTCCCTTTCAAAAGCGGCATTGACATGAGTCGGCAATCCCCTCCAAAAGTGACCAATCGGCATGGGATATCCATCCAGAACATGGTTGTTACGTACCCTCCAGAACCATTTATCCTGAAAGAGAAAAGAGATTCATTACCAGCCTGCTAGACAAACTGGAATATCAAAAGTCCAACAAAGTTGCATGGGTTTACCTTGAAAACAAACATTTCTCCTCTGAGGATGGCAATGGTGTCGAAGTGTCCATCACAGATGTTGGGGCCATAGTGAGGCTTGTCAGGTGAATATGTGGGCTGGGGGCTGTGGTACGGTGTACGGGGTGTTACAGGGGGTGGCTGAGGGCCTGATCCAGACCCTATGTGTACAAAGACATATGAAAATGATTTTCCGAGAACCATAACATGTCAACATCATTTAATGCTAGTCCTGTTAGATCAAATTAAACTTAATGATCCCCTATGTAGATTACAAGTTATACAGGGAGAAAACAGACTACCAAAGATTAAACATAAAAGTACATCATTAGAGAGTTTAACATCTACTTTTCAAGTCTACAGATTTCTTTTTGTGTGTCATTTAAGTTCTTTATGCTTCAAAAATCGGAGAGTAAAAATTGCAACCAGCAGATAAAGATAAGGCTCTTTTTTGATAACTTGGATAACTTAGACTCTCTGTAACGCACCATAAAGCTGCTGTATGCCTCTGCGATCGTCGTCGGGAAGTATGAAGCTCTCGGTGTCCATCCACTGGTAGAAGGGAGCCATGATGGCTGAAGGGTCATTAGAGTGCTCCAGGCCCAGAGCATGTCCCAGTTCATGCACCGCAACCAGGAAAACATCATTACCTGAAACAGTGTGAACATCAAAACACCATTTCATATTACCTTTCTCCCCAAATAAATGAAAGCAAAGTGGGAAACATAAAAAGGGGGAGTTTTTTGTGCTAATGAGACAATGGGAACTAAAGGTGAAGGAGCAAATGTTACAGTTATCTAATTTTTAAGTGACTCAAGCACAGGCAATTACTTATTACCAGTAAAACAAAAATAAAATGATGCAGGTCATGTGAAGATGTGTCTGACTCAAACAGCTGATGTTGCAAAGCCGTGTCCTTTACCAGAAATAAACACTTCTTCATTTACGTAATGTTAACATAGCGCGGGGCATTCCCTCCTCAAACGACACAAGACTGGATCGGTTGCTGCTTGTGTTTTGCTCACAACAGCACAATTCAGAGTCTGGACTGCCAAAATACAAAGCAACTCCCAACATCTGTGTCATCACATTTAAAGGAATCACAAAAGAAAAAATCCCTTCTATCAAAATATCAGTTTCACCATAGATCCAACAGAGCCTTACCTGACAGATCCTTGTTTCCAATAGTCCATGGTTCAGCTGCATCAAAGTGGGTGTCCCCACCGATACCATTACCAGGGAAATAGGCGTGTGCCAGGAAGCCCCCCTCGCCATCGAACGGGCTGCTGTCACCATGGAAACCCTCTGCGAAGAACAGCATAATGTCTGCAAACTCCTCCACCTTGTCCCGGATGTAACTGTAGGGGATTTCCCGGAAGCGGAGCGGGGTGATACTCTCCCACACCTTGAAGGCCCTCCTGATGGCCTCGTGGGTCTCGTACTCACCCACCTTAGGGGTGTAATTCTGTATACTGAAGAATGGGGAAATGTGTGTGTAGGTTTGTGGGGATGGGGGGTGGAGAAGGTAAAACAGAGTTAATGTTATTTTGTCTTCATAGAAAAACCACATCAGTTGCTTAATAGTCACCTCAGCAGCTTGGGTTGTCTCACATCAAACATTAAACTAAGCAAAAAAGTAATTGTGTAAAATGGTGTGCTTCAGGTACTGTTCCATCTTGTCTCTGCAGTTG